GCAAAGACCCAGAGAGGGGTTGGGAGTCGGTGCCAGTGTGTGCCTCAGCTGGAGGGATTTTTGAAATTAGTGCAGTGCAATGGGTGTCCTGTAACTGGTTATTTGGACACATCCAAGGAAGGGCTTACTTTGTATCGTTGGATTCACTTGTACAGGGCAGAGCAGTTTCGGTCTGTGTCACGTCCTTTGTCTCGTCGCTGTTTTGTGTCCTTCTTCTCTTAATTGTGTCCCATGGTGTGTGTGTCATCACTGGTGCGGGGTGTCTCACTTGGGGTTAGCCTGGAACTGCTCTGCCCTGCTCCGTGGATCAGTGGGTAGATAGAATATTGCTCAGAGTCTCCCATCAACATGTCAGTTACCTCAGGCAGTGGAGCCGATGGGTGTACGGTCCTGCCGGATGGAGCGGGTGTATATAACTGGTGTGCAATCATTATAGCCGAGTGTTGTGGAGCTGATGGTACTTGGACAGCAGGGCCTCGCAGCTGGGTTGTCATTTGTATTCTTGTAGGCTGCGGTCAGAGTTCTCACTCGCTCAGTGGAAATGAGTTCTTTTAAGTGGTTAAGGTCTCAGTGACCATGTGGGTGACCTGACTAACCCTTTGGTTTTTTGTTGGGGTTTTTTTTTCAGATAAGTGGACACAATGTACCCCAGACCGAGACAAGTTGAAGCAGCCTGGGAATAAGGTTGTATTAGGGGTTGGATGCAGGATGTCAGTTTTAGCCACAGGAGTTCTTTATCCTTGTGCCTTTTTGTTTTTTGTTTTCCAGGTGGGGCCCAATCGGTCTCCAGGGATAGTGGCTCAGCAGGGAGATGAGCGAGGTGAGGAGCTCCCACAGGGAAGCCATCCTTTCAGGCAGTATCTCAGTGTGTACATTTGCCTTTGGCTTTTTTACCTTGCAGAGAATGTGTGCAGCCTCAGAGGGCCGGAGCCACCTGCCAGTTAGGTTTGATGGTCTTCAGCTGTCCTCGTGAGTAATCTCCTAGTGCTACAAGTGTCATCAATTAAGGCTGGACCTTTTCCAGTTGCAGGTGCCATCCAGCCTGCCTTTGGCAAAGGAGGAGCATTGAGGTTTAGTCAGGGAGGCAGCAGGAGGTGCTGGGGTCTCCCTTACTTTCAGAAACACCATGTAACTTTTTTTCTCACTCCCCCAGGTATGGCACACGGTGACGGCAGCAGCCTCGGACTGGGGTCGGAGCCAGTGGCCCGAGAACGTCTCAGCTCAGGGGAGGGTGAGTAGCCAATTGCGGGGTTATCTCCCACGTGCTGCCCAACTCTCGTGTCAGTTTCTGTTTTCTTTCTCACAGCCGACCGAGTCAGGGATCACAGGACCCTGTGAGCCAGCTGGGCGTCCTTCCTTGGCATCCAAGATGGATTCACATCCCCAGCTGTGGGAAAGATAAGTGGAGGACTAGCACCTGGAGAGGGGATGAGAGCTGGGTCTAATGTTATGGTTAGGAGGGAGGGATTTTCAAATGAGCACAGGGGAAAGGGTCTGCCCTAAGAGGCCCTTGGCACACATAGGAGGAGTAGTTTACTTTTCATCGTGGAGTAGGGTGTGCAGGGCAGAGCCGTTCAGGTCTGTGTCGTGTCCTTTGTCCAGTCTGTGTTTCGTGTCTTACAATTCACAGTCACCGTGTCTTTGCTTTCTGCCCTCAAAAGTCTTATCAGACATGTCAAGGCATCGTTCCTAGGGTCTTGAACCTTTGCACTGCTCAGCCCAGTGCCCATACCATCCGTTATTTGGCTCACTAGCTTGGACGTGCATCGGAATCGCATCTGAGAAGTGTCAGGTCAGGTGTCTTTTACAGCCTCCTTACAGGCTGTATCGGTGGCTGTGCCGTGCAGTCATCCCTTGTCATCCCACCTGGGACTTGTGAGAATCCAAGAAGATTCTGAACAGAGCATTGTCTTCCATCCATCTTAGCAATTTTGTAGGCAGTTCTTGTCCCAGGCCGTTCTGTTAGAGTGTCTTTTCAGGCTCCTCAGAGCCTCCTGCGTTCGGTCTCGCCGTATCCTCCGTCTTCTCGTGCGGCAGCACGTCCATTTTGGCGTCGTTCCTTTCTCGGAGTTCTCTCTCCTCGTCGCACCACAGCACTCGTCTGGAAATGTGTCCTTGGAGTTTGTGTTGGGCCTGGAACTGCTCTGCCCTGCAGTGTAGACTTGGGGGTAGGTGGAGTAGAAAGGAGACTTTCCAGTTACCCTGTGGATAGGCTTAGGCACTCAGGGCAGCAGTTCTCCGGTCCTCCCGGAGGCAGCCCCTGCCTGCAGTGTGCGTGCAGTGACAAGAGCGGGCTTTTCCAGAGCCGATGGGAGCGCTAAGGCAGGGCCTTAAAGTTAGGTCAGTGTTTGGTTGTGCAGGTTGTCTTTGGACCCCAGAGGGTTTGTCTAAAGAGAAGTGACAATTGGGCAGCAGTTAAGGTCCCCCTGTCTCTAAGGCTGACTTTGGTAACTCATTTCATTGCAACATCAGAGGGACTGGATGTAAAGCAGAGATAAACAGAAGAGGCTGGAGGAGCACAGTCAGAAGGTGGGTTGTCATGTGAGGTCAGAGCTATATATGGCAATGAAGAGGATTAGACTCAAATACAGGGTTTTTAAATTTAATAATTTTGTGTCCTGTGTTGGTAAGGTGCTTTTGTAATTTGTTATCTTTTTTTCTTTTCCTTAGGAGCCTTGCATCTTTTGGCATCTCCCGATGATCTCAACTGCAGCTTGGCATTTTTTCACAAGTGTTCTCGGTCCTCAGGCGAAGCTGCTCTGTGTTGAAGATGGCTACAGACACCCAGATTTGCAAGTAGTCAGTGGGGGGTTACAGCCCAGAGATGGAGGGAGGGCTGGGGTGCCAGCTTAGGAATTGCCAGGGGTGTTTTGAAGGTAGTATGGGTGGAAAGCAGAGTCCAGGAGCCCCCCTAAATGTTTGTGAAGGCACCCACTGACTTTTAAGATGTGCCCCTTAAGTTTTTCTCTCATTCACCCTTTCAGTTGATATCCTTAAAATCACAATTTGAGGGATTTCCCCTTCAATTTAAACACAGGGAATATTGTCAAATGACTTTTCCCGCAATTTAAACCCCTTTTCCCCCAAACCCACCTCCTTTCTGCAGTCACTGAATGCTCTGGGGAGGGACTAGGACCACTGGGAAGATGAAGTTGAAAGGAGACAGTCCTTCCCTCCGCCCCCACCCTGCGCTGCCCCTCCTGCTCCGGTGCTGGTCCCCTCGCCTGTGCTGCTCCTCAGCACAGAGTTCATTCCTTGGCACCTTCCTCGAGCAAAGCTCCATTTCCAGGTGCATCCAGGAGGTCGCCCAGCCCATGCAAGGTGCTCCCACCATCGTTCTTTGGGAGACCACCCCCCTGTGGGATTGCCCCCCCGGCCGCTCCCCTCTGATCTCTGAGGCCCACTTCTCACCCTCATCGTTTACACCTAAGGAGGGAATGACGCGCGAGAGGTGGGAATCCCAGGGGAAAGAGTCACTGACATGATCCAGGGTGGGAGAAACTCCAAGTTTTTATTTTTGTTGCCCAGAAAACACGCTGCCACGGCAGCGCGCGCCACTCTGCCCTAAAGCACCGCTGTTGAGCAGCCACACCTGCCACGCTGCCGGAAAATTCAGCGACACTTCGGATGCTCACTGCCCCCCCCCCCCCCCCCCCCCCGCCCGAAAAATTCCCCCCCCCCCCGGGGCCCCCCCCCCCCCCCCCCCCCCGCAGTGCTCCCAGTTTGTCCCACCGCTCCCAGTACACTCCTTGCCTCCCCCCAGTGCTCCCACTTTGTCCCACTGCTCCCAGTACCACTCCTTGACTCCAAAATTTAATGAGTCCTAAGATCACTGCCAAACCAAAGGTGACAGGACAGGAAGGTCTTTCTGCCCTGGGCAGCCCATCCCCTGCCCCTCAGACCCCGGGGCTCCGTGCTTCCCTCTCGAGGGGCAGAACTGCCAAAATTTCCGTTGTACCTCCCAAACTGAGGGTCACCTGCGCCACCCACAACTGGGCCAGGTGCGCTCCCTGACAGGGGCACGGCCTCCGCCGCGGGGCGGGGCCTGTTTACAGGGGCGGAGTCACGCGGCTCCTGGGCCGCCTTCGTGGGCGGAGCCTGTTGCCAGTGCCGGGCGTAGCGGCAGCGCCCCGGGAGCGGCGGGCGGTGCCCCGGAAGCGGCGCGGCAGGTGCCCCGGAAGCGGCGGGCGGTGCCCCGGAAGCGGCGCGGTCAGGGCGGCGATGGCGGCGGAGGAGCCTCAGCAGCCGCAGCCGGAGCCGCTCGGCGGCAGCGACGCGGACGGTACCGACAGGCCTCTCTGGGGCCCCCTCCGCCCCCCGGTCTTGCGGCCCGGGACCCTCGACCCGGGATCTCCCCGCTCCCCCCGGGGGGCCTCTATAGCCTCGGCCCCGCCCACCGCGATGCCCCACTACCCCCTAACCCCCCCTTCCCGGCACCCCCAAGACCCCCTCCATCCCTCTCCGGGCTCCTGACGGCCCCCGCCTTATCCCCAGGACCCACTCGGGAGGCGTCCCCGCTCCCCAGACCCCCCTGGGGAGCTGTGGAGCCGCTCTGGGCCCCCCCTGACCCCTCACATCCCCCTAGGCGTGAACTGCCTGGCCTACGACGAGGCGATCATGGCGCAGCAGGACCGGATCCAGCAGGAGGTGAGGAAACCCCCGACCCGTCAGAACTTCTCACAAAACCCTCCCTTAAACTCCTTCAGAGTCTGCCCCGAAACCCCCACGGAGGTCTTCAAACCCCGTGGGGGTCCCCAGTCCTCCCCCAGTCCCTGACCCCCTCCAGTCTTGCCCCCTAGATTGCGGTGCAGAACCCACTGGTGTCAGAGCGCCTGGAGCTCTCAGAGCTCTACAAGGAATACGCCGAGGATGACCATGTGTACCAGGAGAAGATCAAGGTGCAGCACTGGGAGATACTGGGAGGGACTGGGACACCAGTGTGGTACTGGGAATAGTACCACTATGGGACTGG